CGTACACTATAGGTCCTTCTTTACTTCATTCAGCCAACTATTTCGTTAACGTCCTTTCCATTCTTGCAAGCATTGTGCGTTCTTTTGATGCGGCCGACCGTACAAACCTACGTGTCTTTATGTGTTTCAAAATATTTTAATTTCCTAAAATCCGTTCAATTCCATTGTTATTCCTTAACCTCCGTCTTTTCTCTTCGTTCACTGCTTCGTATATTTTCCTTGCCACTCAGCGCCATAGCAGTCTATAGATCTAATGAGTGTTATAAGATAGAAATAATAATGATAATAATTAAAACAGTATAGAGTTCGAACAACATTGTTGCATCGATACTATATCATTAAAAATATAAACAACGTTATTATTCGACTACCACCCGTGAGACGCACTATCATCGTGAGATCACTCCTAAGTCATCGTTTCCATTGACTCCCACGCAAACGGCTCTAGCGCTGGTAGCCAATCGTGGTATCCTCGTACTATTGGCTGTCCACCTATTGTTGAATCATTAATCATTAATCAATGATAGAAAATACTATAAATGAAAGAACAACAATATCTCGCTGTCAACGGTATCACGTCGACATAGATACTATATAAATGTTACCACATGTGATGGCGATCATCAACCAAAAGTTGCTAACGCGTAATATCGGCACTCTGTTTAAGCCTTTCACCAAATTCTACCCCTGCCCCCCTCGCGAAAAATCTCCGGACAAATGGATTCCGTATGCACATAAACCCTTAAATTCCAACTTTCAGGAAAATCCTTAAAAAGTACACACATACCATTGTTACTCATATTATACGTATAAGTTTTATTATGCACCACCACGCGACGCGACGTGTAAGATCAAGTCCTCGGGAGGTGAGGCTCGAGTCGGAGAGCTCGAATTTCGAAACGTGTCGAATAATGTCGACTGACGATCCGATCATTAAACTAATTTTACCTATACCTGTCGGCTGTCCTGCCTACATACATGTTACGATACTTGTTAAAACCTCGTATAATATATTAGAAGTTGTAGGGGGAGTACACGAATTTCGTGGAAGTACCTACCCTAATGACGGAATATTAGCATCGAGTGTCGGAGACTGAGGATATTATATAAACGGGTGTATAGTTCTCTATCTTTCTCTAATGGTATAGGTACTTTTACTTACCCTTAAACGAACTGATACCGGCTTGTTTTGAAAATAATTTCCAAACTTCAAGCAGCCAAGGCTCTTGTTCGTTATACTATAATATTATATGTTATAATGTCCTTTGCAGATAAATCATATCACAGTCAAAAGTCAAAATATTCAAATACATCGACTATCGCTGTATCAACGAACGATGTTTTTTTTTCTTTCTGTAATTCTGTTATCGAAATATTGTCTAAGTTAAATGAAACATTCGTTCTAAAAGTTTATAACTACCAACCGTAACTGTTGGACATATATTTCACACTGTCGTAGTTTCTTATTTATTAATTAATAATTCGTTTAATTATTTACATATTATAATATAAATACAAGAGTATAAGTTATAAGAATATAATTGAAAATCGATTTTCTCGCTATTTTTTGAATTTTGACATTTGTGGTCTTTGATTTTGGACAACTTTACCCACGGAAGTTTTTATTTTATAAATTTTAACCTAGATCCAGAAAATACTGATCAAATATGAATAAAAATAACGTATCGATAGTGTAAACCATAAAAAAAAAAGTAGTACAATGTGTATCAAGGATTTTGTTTTTATTTAATTAAAAAGAAAAATAATAATAATCCATTTGAATTGTTGAAACATCACCTATGTATATAGTTTATTTTGGTATGCCGACACTTGGGCGCAGGACAATTGGACGCGGAACTTTTAGGCATAATTTAGGGTGCAAAACAATTTGGAGCGAATATCAATAATATTCAAAATTAATGTAAAACGTATACTATTAATATATGAAATTTAAGGTATAAATTATACATTTTATTGCAGTATCTATAGTGTAGATTCTATACGTGTACAATACAATAGTTATTGTTTAATACAATAAAAGTTATTATAGATCTTTTGTTTTTTTTTTTTTTTTTGCACGTTCAGTTGTTTGGCGTTCTGATAACCAGCGTTTTATTGTACTTTTAAATATTTCTTTCTATTGTCAATATCCTCAATTATCAGTTGTTCAGTAATTAAAGAAAAAATTAAATGATTTTGGATAAGAATGTATAATTTAACAATAATACGCGTTTTAATACTTATTTAGTATATTATGTTCATATTAATTCAACATTAAATGCACTCCATCTTTCGATATGAAATTTTATCGACACGCTAAAAAATGAAAAAAAACTTAATCGTTTAAAAATACATCAATTTTCGGCTGGAACGGAACCGAGACAAAAGCTTAAAAAATATAATGTGATTTTGGTGATTTTTTTTTATTTGTCTAAGGCCACTTTTTTGGTTAATGAACATCCCCCAAACCTTTCACGCCGTACGATGTGGATTTTCCATCCGGCACGGCTTGTCGGTACTTCATTTTGTAACATTTTCGCCGTTAATTCCCAACAATTTTTCTAACTATAAACACGCATTTAACGACTGACAACTAAACAACGTTATACCTAAACAGTTTTCTGTGTACCACCCGCGTAACTTGTACACGATATTATTGTGTGGGAAATTGTTTTGACACCGCAAAATTATTGTCCGTCTGTGTAGTGACGTCACTGATTGATTATACTGACGTAAGTAATATGCTGACGCCGCCGCGCCGTGACAACAACGATTAATATTTTATAAACGAAAGGGCTGGCGTACGTTCGGGACGTCGTCGGTGACTCGGCGAAAACAATACTTGGCCTGTCCGACTCGTTTTAATTATTACCATTACAATAATACCGCCGTAGTTTTCTCATTACACGGACCAATCTATATTGGATCGACGAACAGCCCGTAAATTCCCGATTAAAAAACAAACAAAAATAGCCCTTTGTCTTTAACAGGTGTGACGAACCGGGCCGGATTAAGCCGTCCGCCGGCCCTTGGCATGGCCGATTGAAAACATTGCGTTTCATATCGCAGGTACATTCTGGTACAGCTTTTATCGTAACCAATTACTACATTTACTATTCATTCGTAAATGCTAATTATTAATGCGTATACATAATTCATCGCGGTATACCTAACTGTAATAACGTAATGGCAACGATAATAAATACCTTGTCGCATGCAGGCCCGTATTAGCGTATAGACACTATAGGCACCATGTCTGGGACATTCGAAAATGTGTGGCTACGATTTTTTCGTAATATTTTATATATATTTTATTTTTTTTTTATTATTATTAGTATTATAAGTTAATATTCACAAAAAAACGGGCGGGTGGGTCGTGGGTGCCCAGGTGTTCAGAAATATGACGAAAAATATTAAGTTTTTACAAAATAAAATTCATTAAAGAATTTTAGACTGCGAAATTTTATAAATTTGATAAATTTTATTGGAATTTAGTAGATTTCAATACATTTGTGGTAGGACGAGGGGAGTATTTTGGGTTGGGATGGGTGGATGGGTGAAAAATTAAATCGGTGAATCGTGGTAAAAATACTTCGAGTCACCATTGGTGGAGAGGGATATAGAAATATGCAAAATGGTATAAAAAAAGTTATATTTTATAGTTTTTGACAATTCAATTTTATATACTTTGGAGTAAAATAAATTGTTTTTAAAATTTGTTAAAATTGTTATCATATACAAATGTATAAAAGTTAGCCCTAGGCAACCTAGGGCCTGCGAAAAAAATTGATGGATTTTTTTCTTTTTTATTAACGGAAAATCTAACAATTTACTGTTGACCTTTTATTTGCTCGTTAGCTATTAGTGTCTAAGGCTTACAATAGTCTTAATCCGGGCTTGGTCACAAAACGCACCGCGTCGTCCGAAACGCTCATGTGAGGATCGAAAAAATTCAATAGTAAATTTGTAAATAGACAATTTTTTATTAGCTTTAGCCGTCTTTTCATAGACCGTCGTGTTTCTCGTAGTCTCTAGTTATGTCAATAGGGGTGGCTTAGAAGGACTTAGCCCTCACTGGGCCGTCTCAAGCGCCTTACCTATAATATTTGAAATAATATAGTTTTTAATATTAAATTTGATACCTATTGGACTCAAGCCATACGCATTTTCAGTCTCTAAGCCTAAGCCTAAGCACAGTTCTTAATGGCGACGAGAACTACTGCGACGATTAAAAGTGCCTAAATATAATATTCGTATTGTACGGTAACACTTTTTATCGGTTCGATATTCATTTAAACGAATATAAGAGTAGAAAGAGACGTATGTTTAAAATGTTGACGTCTCGAACGAAATATAATGATATTGCTCCTAAACTTCCCCCCAAAAAAAAAATTTAGAATACCTAATTGCAACTAATTGTTTTATTGAAATTTAACAGTTAAATTTTTAATGTTTACCTATTACGTTAATATATAATATTATTGATAATTTTTCGTCACATATTAATATTGTTCCTTGATACAGCGCAGATATACGACTGTATAATATAAAGTACGCGTTTCCATCAACAGCAGATAATTTAGTGCCTTGTAAACAGATCTCAGGTTCAATAAGACATAGGTAGAACACTTTAACTATTTTCGGGATACTGACAGATTTTATTGTTGCCACCTGCGCATAGAACCCGGACCACATACATATTATTATATTATAACTCTTAGGAAACGTATAAAAGATGGCGGGACTCCGGCACTTTTTCCGAAAATAAGGCAAAACCGAACAGTTTCACCAATTCAGGATAATCCTGTACGTAATCGATTTGTCCCATCCGATTTCTTGTGCTTTACCGTCAAACCCCGTCGCGGTCAACTGGGTTATTTCAAGGATTACCATTCGGACCACCAACAGCCTCGGAATAGTACAATGGAATAAAAAAATTCACAAGAACCATACAATTTTCGATAACAATAAAATGCTATTTTATTATATATTTGTTGATAATATATTATATTACAAAATAATTGCGGTATGTAACAAAAATACACCTTTCTTAAAATCGATTGATATAATAATAATAAACAACTAAAAAAAAATTAAAAAATTGTACGTCGTAAAAAAAAAAAATAAAAATAAATAATAATAATAATAATAATAATAATAATAATAATAATAATAATATTAATAAGGAGAACGTGTTGCGAACACGAATACGAACATAATACAATATAATAATAAAATGTACGATAATATTACATTCTAAATGTAATAACCGGTCGGCTTTTATTTTTTTTTTTTTTCATTCCGCGAACATAATATTTTTATATAATAAAACGAAATCATTATACAAATATTACATTAGGTATATCGTATATATATATATATATAGGTAAAAGTGCGCGAATCAAAAATACGATGAAAAAACAAAAAAAAAACGAAATTTACATTTCATCCCCGGACGAACAATTCCGAGTTATATTTAGGCCTAATAATAATATGTCCACTTTATTGAGGTAGGTTCGATAAATGGATGAAAAACAAAAAAAAAAAAAAAAAAAAAAAAAAAAAAACAAAAAAAAAAATCACAAACAAATTATATTATTATAACGAAGAGAACGGGTTTACCCTCGTCGCGTATTATCGTAACGAGTAACCCGCGGCGTAATTAATCGAAATTAATTACCGAATCCGTAAATCTAACGTAACCTATCGTTCAAACATAATAATAATAATAATAATAATAATAATATCGTTATTTTGTTTTTGTGACTTTCGGCGACTAATATCGCCTCTCCCCACCTCCTCTCCAGCTCACGAAAAAAAACTTATTATAATTATTTTCAATGCCGGCACCCGGGGCCCGCGAATATAGTAACAATTATTTAGCAACAGGTCTCGGCGGTTCGCATACTAACAGGAAAGGAGTGTACGCGTAAACCTGTATAATATGTAATAATATTTGTTTACAGGGAATTCGATTTTTTTTTTTTTTCCTGACGACGTACAAAAAACAACCTCCGATCGTTCGTATTAATTCCGAGGCGAAACGTTAAATGGCGTGAGGGGTGGGGGGGGNGGGGGGGGGGGGGGGGGGGGGGGGGTTGAAGGAAGAATCTTAATATCAAATTTTTTTCTCACTCGAAGCGTATAACTAATAGGGTAGGTAATTATAGCGATAATATTACGAGTGTAATAAGTGTACACGAAAAAAAGTGGACGCGTTCGCAGGTTATATATGTTTTAGAGACGGCCGATACTGCAGTAGCGGTACAGGATTTTTTCGATGCACCGAGCTGATGACGGTTAACATCTCGTACGTGACATTGCACAGTCAAAGCTCGCCAGTAACCGTATGCAATTAAATAATTCAAAGTTAAGTTATACAATTAACTGGTGTTTGGAATAATTTTTAACTAAACTGGTTAGAAAAACAAAATACAGAACGTCAGCAAATCGCTTAGTTGTTTTGTTCGAATTTAAATTATCTCTAGAACTGAGTAACTTTTAACGCGGGTAGTTTATTATGTCTCTGAAAACGCTCGACTGAACTTTTGTAATTATTACTGAAATTCGTTTATATTTTATAAATGAATTTTAACTGTTTAGCTTTCAAATTAAAATATTTTTGAATAGGATAACTTATATTGGTTGAGAAAATCGAAAACTTGCCCGTCTTTGATTATAATATTATAAAGAATAGAAAATATCGATATCGAAATCGTCGTCCGTCTCTAAGTAACTACGTTATTTGAATTGTTTTATTATTGTTTTTTTTTTGTTGTTGTTGTTGTATATATATTACACGTAGTAAATACTATATATATAGAATCCGATATAATATAATGTAATTGTAAATTATCATGTAACGCGTCCGCGCAAAAAATGGTTAAAAAAAAATAATTATAATAATATTTATACGGTTGGTAACGACAAACACGTGGTTGTCCTATTCGCAGGGGTTCAACATAATTATACACGTATACATTTTTTTTTTTTTTACAATGCAATACATGGCTTGCTTGTTTGTTTTTTTTGTTTACGCAATGCTGTTTGTTGTTGTCGCGACGTCCTTAAGCCTGTAACATGAGCGCCTGGTCCATGAGCTTTTGCCTGGACCGGTCCAGGTGGTTGCGGAGCCCTTGGACCGCGGGGTGTTCTTCGGGATATTCTTCGACCTCTTGCAAGTACCGGAGTGCTTCTTCCATGCAATCCATGTAGCCGGCCACGAGTTCGGCCACTTCTGCAAAATCGGAAAGACGCGCGGTTAGACACACGAGTATTTGTATCATATAGGTACAGGTACTTAGAATATTATGTTCCTATATGTATAGACAATCGGGATGGGAGGTGTATGATACGGGCTCAGAGGAGTGTAACCATACGGGTTATTCGTTATTCAAGCATCCCCTTCTCCGAAACTATTGTCAGTGGTGCTCGTATAAGTATTCGTGCTCGAGTAATATCCACTTGAAATATATATGCAGTAAAAAAAAAAACCCTTTAATCAATTATATTATATAATAAAAACTCTTAAAATATGAAAAGAAATTTCATCGATTTAGTCTCTACGATTTTAAATTGGATTTTTAAAATGTTTAAAAATACATTTTTTTTTTTTTTTTTTAATATTCTCATGAAAATGTACATGAAAAGAAACCTATTTAGACAGAAAAAAAATTGCACATGCTGCAAAATCCGGTAACCTTGATACGACTTCCTATAAGCGTGCATACGGAGATGCAGGGTATGCAATTGCACCCCCGGCGAGTTAAGTCACAATTTTTTTTTTTAACATTACAGACCATTTATAGGCCCTTTGCTGCCAATACCCTCTACTCATTTCTGTTATACGCATGGTTTAGGTCCCATGCCAGCCTACAGGTCACTAACCAGTCTGGTCTCAACTTCTGCATGTCTCTTTTGACTACATCTAACCACCATTTCTAATCACGTTTCTTCGTTCTACCGCGTAGTCTTTTCCTGTTTAAGTTATTCACAAGTACCGTCTTGAAAATACTTATGGACTTAAACCGTCGACTCGAACTGAAGTTTTTAAAATTTTTAAACCGAAATAATGATATATGTATTATATATGTTTTTTTATTATTATTATTATTATTATTATTAGCTGAATAAAATAAATTTAAATATTATCGTAGAACAATTGGGTAATATTGAACAATTAATATTTATTTTTCTTTTAGTGGCTTAATACTTATTAGGTGTTAATATGTAGTAGTTTAATGGTTTGCACCCCCAGTAAAAATTTTCTGCACACGCCTATGCTTCCTAAAGTTAACCAGAGAATAGCAATACGGATTTTCAAAGTAGATATAGGCAATTGATAAACCAGTTCATGATTATAATATTATTCCTTCGGTCCCAAGGAAGAATGGCTTAATAAAAATACAAAAACAAATAAATACGGAATAAGCACCTTATGAAGAAGAAAATCCCCGTGTTCATAAAACAGTTATTAATAATAATATTTTGTCAATCGGACGACTCGTGTATTTGGCTTACTGTGTAATTCAGTATAATTATTATAACATAATATCGGATGTGATCCAAGAAAAATTGATTTCGTTATTGGTAGGAGTATTCAAATATGTGCTATGTTAATCTTCACTATCTACACTACTTTCAGTCAAATGCGTCACGTCATTGCTACTACTGATTTCAATATATTAATATTCAAATAACTGATTAGAATCGGCAGTAAAATTAGAGACGGTTTTTAATTTTTTTTTTTTTTCTAATTTGACTCGCCGTAAATTTAAAACGACGTCGTCATTGAATTCGAACGCTGTGGCTATTCTCCAATACGTAATAGATTTAATAATGCAAAATTATAAGCAGAATATCGACTTCGTCTTCACCTTATTGAATCCAACTGTTAGGGGTCGGCCACCCTCGTCTTAAACTTTCACTCGACCCGATCTCCCGCATCGTCATTATATACACTTGTCGTTCACGTCGACCATCTCTTGTTCGGTCTTCCTCCACCCTATTTTTTCTCTCTCCTACGCGTTTATTTGCATTACAATTCTTACAGCTTACGATTTCCCGTGTTCTCAGTCAATTTCCTCTCATTTCGTCTACTATCGAAGCCACGCCTATACTCATTTTTCCAAACCAAGGAACAACAGATAGCTATAAGCGTTTAATACGTAGTAGACGGTAAGTAAAACATAACATTATAATATAAATAGTCGCGGTACTCACGGAAAATATCGACGGGCAAAGCGGATCCCGATTCTTCTTGGACGGCTTTCAACTGTGAACAGAAAAAAAAAACAACTCTCTATTATTGGATGCAAATACCTATACATTATATTATAATAATACGACCGAAATATTTGTGGTACCTATAGAGTTGTACATATACCCAGTACTATACTATTCAGCCGCTATTATATTATATTATGATGTATACTAGAAGATTATAGGATTAATGTAAACCACATATCGCGGCGGAGTGTCCGGCGAACGGCTATATCCTTTCGTACGTTATCATGCAGTATATAATATACCCGGGTTAGTATTACGTTATAGTATTAAAAAAAAAAATGTGACGGAAAAAAAAAACGAAATAATATTATAATATTATAACGTTTGACACGGGGTGCGCCTTTTCTCGTCACAACACTACACATACATGCATAAGGTCTCTGTATCACGAAAATATTATGTTATTATGATGCCTACTATATAGTATTACCGTGTGTATACGGTACGGCGGAAAACGATGGTCCCCGGGATTACGTCGAGCAGATAGATAGGTATATACAGTACGAACGCATTACGTGTATAATGCAGTAATCGAGCCGGTCCATTATTTCAAGAGCGGACGCGCGCGGATTAAAACGTCCCGGCGCGGTACAGCGGTGATGCTGTCGGTACTCGCCGTATAATATTATGACGATATTATTAGTTATTACTACCCCCGAGGGCGTATTAATACTTTTTTTTTTTTTAAACGCGTTTCCGACGACGTTTGTGTACCGCCGACGACAAAAAACCGTACACAAACGCGTATATGAGAAGTGTGATATTTATTATAAAGACGACTGAATCGAAACTTTATCGCGGACATTATAATGGACGCGGATTAAAAATAATACAATTCCGAAAAAGTCGACGCCACGGTCGTTATTAACACCTATATTATACGTTATGATGACCGTACCGGTTAGGTTAGGTTAGGGAAGATCAAGCGCTTCGTCCCTAAGCTTGTGTGGCTGCCGAATTTTGAGTGCGATTTTTACCCGACGTGTAATAGTTTCCCCGGTTATATAATATTTGTACCGAACGCGTACGTTTCAAAACCGATTATCAATAATTTTTAGTTTAACTGAGAGCGATTTGTGATTATTTACAGAATTAGCATTATTCACGATTGAAAACGATCAAACATGAATTGTATAATATTATATTTTTGCACGCAAATAGTATACTCGTAGTCATAACAATAAAAATCAAATAATTCAATTTAAAAACATGTTTATTATTCAATTCGTATTTTAATATTTTTTACATTTAAAAATAATCTTCTTTTGTTTCGAAAAAAATGATCATTGGGAAAAAATACTTGTTAGGGAGGAAAAATTAGAAAAAGTGTCCCCTACCATAACGTCAATGTATAAACAGATAAGTTAGGACCGAAAAAGAAATCTTTAAATTTAATTTCCTTCATCCCCGTTGCCTTTATCTCGAATGACTCTATTGCCGTTATTCTTGTTTTTCCCTCCGCACTCCCACATCTATTCCACGTGTCCTCGTTTTATTATTTCCTCTCGCAGTGTAACCTCCTGAAATCACTTTTTTATTTGGTCCATCGCCTTGTATACTCACCTATATATAGGTGTACATACACACATATTATTTATGACACCTTGACTATCTCACCGTTTCTCCAATTCTCAACGTGCCCAACTCGATATTTTATATTCTCTGTGGTTTTCCCTGCTACGCCCGACCGCTCGTCCGTTAGACATTCGTTCCCACAATATTGTGTCCGCTTTTCAATAAGCACCCCGCGAAAAATAATAATTATATTCCGTTTTATCTTTGACGGTACGTTTTTACCGTACGACGCTCCCGTATCGTAAGCGCGTTGATTCGCTTCGGTACGTCCGCTGCAGAAACCGGTCGGCATTATAATAGTTCGAAACACAAAAATCGCTCCCCGAGTATTACATCGAACAAGGTACTTCGGCAACATTTAGAGCGCGAGGAAAAAAAATTCGTCTTTCGAACTGTTGCTGCAGCGAGTGGCGCCAAAACATAAAATACACTTAAATATTATAATTATGTCGTAATAATAAACGAAGATATTTTCCCGACCTCCTCCCCTCGAAAAATCGTAATTACTCCGTTTCTCCCCTCCACGCTCTTCGTCAACGGGCCTTGCGACGGTAGTTTCACCGCAGAAACACAAACTCGCGTACGCCCGTCCTACAATACCTACGCGGTCCTCCGCTCCCGTCCGGATTGTAAGTATAGCTAAAATATTATTATACATGAAAACAGAGCGAATACCTATGGAGTCGTTTTCGTCTGCCGATATAATACGCGGGTACCTAGGTCAGCGCCGAATAGCCGGCCGACAGAAAGCCCGTAATTATAATAATAACGAAACGGTTTTACGACTATATTCTTCCCGCAGTATTTATAGGTATCGCCGTATCATTATAAACGCGAAATGCATTCCCGTAATATTATTATCGAACGATCTATTTTTTTTTTTTTTCTGTTTTTCTGTTCTACTCGTAATAATTATATTTTTTAGCTAGTGCGCGGGTAGTATTAAGAAAAAAATAAACTGTTCCGTTGATATCTGCGACGCAAACGTATACGTAAGTACAATATTTACATATATTATATATATGTATACATACGTATGAGCTGAATCCGGGAGACTGAGAATGCCCCCGGGTTCCCGGAGAAAAACGAGGACACAGTTTTAAAACTTTTCGAAAACTTAACAAATTACTCTTGTAACGTACACAAAAAAAAAAACGACACTGCCTATACGACTGCAGTTGTTAGTGGGAAATTGGAAAGATAGAATATTATACATAATATATTATGTAATATAAAGTAATTTTTTTAAGTTGTACTGACGTACGTGACGATAATTAATCATTGCACACGAAAAACGATTCTGAACGTATTTCGATTAAACGCGTAAAGCCGATATGCCGCGACTTTTACGATTTTCATGAAAAAATATCTAAGAAAAAATGACGTATATATATTATACGAGAACGAAACATTTCCAAAAACCGTATAATTCGAGGTATAATAATCATTATTATCCGCGTACACGGCTGTGAAACGTTTAATTATTGTAACAGGCTGCGATGCGTTACGTTACAAGCGAACAACGATAATTATTACATTACAAAAGTGAGTAGAGTTAAAAAAAAGACAAAAAAAAAATCGTCTGTAGGTACACATAAAATGTTTGATTTACACACTCGGCGTACCTGTTGTGTTACTCGTATAATATGCAAACCTGCAAATCGTCCTCGTTTTCTTTATGTTATTGTGACGCGGGGCGTCTGAATAAACACTTGTTTTTTTTTTTTTTTTTTTTTTAATTTTCGACCATGTCCGATTCCTAATGGAAAGCACAAGCACAGCTGGCGAGTGCGCGCGTAATTCGAAAAATATAGACTAAAAAAAAAAAAAATATTGTTTATATACCTATAAGAAGTATGTTGTTAATAATAAGCCCCACATGGCTATTTCACCATCTGCCATTTCGTCCGCCGCAAACGCGCAGCGCTGCACCGAGGGGGTCATAAAAAAAAAAAAAAAAAAACAAAACAAAACACCATAACGTTACAAGTTCCAACGTACGTGCGTGTTATATAGCGTTGAAAATCCCGTTGAAAAAAAAAGTTTCAGAGTTTATCCATTTTGTATACTGTATCGTAGTACGCCTATGTTTAATAATTATTTTTCATTTGGGAAAACGCGTATACTATCGGCGCAGACGAGAATCAGATTGGTATTTTTTTCTTTTACAGAATATTCGCCGCGAGTGTATACTTATTGTATGTACGGCGGTGTTTGAAACGTTCACTAAAAAATTGAACACGTTCACGTTCACAAACGGTGACATAAAATAAAAATTACTTATAAAACAATTGGACGGGATGTATAGACGCGCACAAAATAATACTGATACACAGAATAATAGTTTAGTGTTACATAGAGTGATTTCACTCTGTAGTTTTGTAACGACGGTAACACCGGCGAAATAGATAAACAAACATTATCCGTCTCGTTAGACAGCATATCTTTACAAATTACAAGCGATGTAGCGGTATCATTAAATTATGCTTTTCAGAGGATCAAGATAGCTATCGTTATGATTTCGTATTGTTATCGAACGAACGAAACTAATAATTGTCTAAATAATCGAACGCGATCGCGAAATATTGAACGCGTCATTTCACCGCTATAATACAGGTGTCTATATACTTACTCAGTGGCGTGTGCAGCGGGGGTTGGAGAGGTGGAGGTTAGGGGTTATATCCTATTGGTTTAAAAATACAAAAAAAATACGAGTAATTCAATATGTCGAAACGCGTAATATATTTCAGCCGAATCGTATGTATTGATTAGAAATCGGCTTTTTTTTGGGATCCGGTTTTTAAATAACCGATTTCCGTCAGTATAAAGTCGGGCCGCGGAGACGATCGTAAAGATTTGTTCGCGGTTCTTATTGATTGCAACCTATCCCGTTGAAAATAATAATTCCCCGTTCTAGCCGCCGTATGCCTACCGCAAGGCGGCGTTCAAGTCACCGTGAGATACCTATACGTATACCGCGGTATAAATACAATACAGTGACATCTGGTCGACGAGTCCTGTACGATACGGACACGGGCACGAGGCGCAAGCTGTAACAATAATATGCGCAAGTGTATTATTATATTATAGGGTATACGGAAACGTTCGAGTGTCGACGACAGAGAAGAAAAAAAGTGGGCGATGTGTTTCGCGGTGGCGGTAATACAATGCGACGTGACGCGGCGGCACGATCGTCGTCCACAGAAAAGGGTTACGCGCGCCTCGCAATTTGTCTCAAAACGATTGTCGGCCGTAAAATATTCGAGTACAATATAATAAATACATAGCCGAAATCCGCCGAAAACCGCAAAAACATACACTCGGCCGTTCTTCGAGCCCGTCCGAATACGCTGCACAATACGTACAATGCGCGATATCTCACTGCACCGGTACGAGTATTATGTGCACTGTGCAGCGTGGTGTTGTATAGTGTGCGAAAATAATAAATATGTTTGTATCACGACGAACGCACGCCGCAGCACACTGTATAGTAGTATTGATATTATTATACCCGAACTCGGACGTCGTCATCGCCGGGATAGGGGGGGCCCGGTGTTAAAGTGTCGAATCGCAAACAGATAGGGATTGTATCCTGTACGTACGAGGATTTCGAGCGAATTTCTCTTTGGGTTTTCGTCGTATCGTGGAGAAAAAAACCGTTGCGCCGATCGGTATTCCGTTTGCGCGACAGGCGCGTTGTTTTCCGGCCGAAACGAAACCGTTGTGTTATAGTTTGACCGCGGATTAATGTCGAACGTCGGGTTCAGAATTTTTTTATCGATATTGTTCAATCAGTATTTTCGACGTTTCCAACAAAAGACGATTGTTGGATTAAGAGGAGGCCTACCCCGCCAGCGTTTATATTATACCGTCACTGCGCGTGTCTATACAATTGACGGGCGACGCGGTGAAATTACACCGTTTTGGACAGTAAAGATTACGACGTTCGAATGTATTGAAATCACAGACACGATAAACAAAAATATTTAAAAACGAAATAACATTTTCGAGGGCTGTACGTAGACCTATTATTTTTTCTAACGAAATCGTTTTAAAAAAAAAAAAAGTGTTATTTCCGTGCGTTTTTTAATTTTTTTTGTACGACAATTTTTTCGACGAAAAAATCTCCGTATTATTTCCCTCTTTACGTTTTTGTAATCGTGTGTATATGCTCCGATTTCAACCCGAAAACCACAGTTTATACGTTTGGAGCAATGTAATTTCGTTGACTGCAGAGACAATAATATATGCGGGTGTAACGTTCTCGTGTTATAATACCAATCGAGCAGCGATTTTTTTTTGTTTTTTTTTTTTTTTAATTCGCGTTCGAAACGATTTTTCTAACATTTCATAACGGTTTAAAATCAATGCCGCAGTCAAGTATAATAGGGAAATGTAATCAATTTTGCATCCGTTTTTTGAAAAAAATAAAATCGAATTTATTCTCATCGTATTATTGTTGTTCGTATACGAATATATGTTGCACGTGTACGTAGACGATCGCTGTGGTTCGCGAAACACCCCATGTATATTTTATGAAGGTTAACGAAATTTCCGTCCAATTTAAAAACGTCTGCAATCACTGCCTCTGCACGCTACGGAAGGTATTAATTTTTAAAAATCATATTATATAATCCAGACATTTTCATTTTGCATAGTATTATATACTATTGAGAATACCTGTACCTATACACAGTGGCGAAATCGCTGAGAAGCAATCGCTTTCCGAATTTTTTTTAAAGATTTCGGGTTGGATGACTGCGCAATATGAAAATGAGTGAATATCAGTATGAATGTTTACTACAAATTCAATAAAAACGGGTGAAAACACGAGGTACATCAATATTGGGAAATATTGTGTACTGAGTGGAGGATAGCTATAGGTGGGTTGTTTTGCCTCTGTGCAGACATCAAAGTACACTCCGCGATTTCGAAACGGAAAACACCGCGATACAGAACGCGGTAGGGTTTATGCGAGACGTCGTTTCAATTATTGCCGACGACCCGAAAAATAATAGGGCAAACATAATATGACATTATATTCGAATTGCTGGTATTATAGCTGCGTGTACTATAATATATTATATAAAACGCATCGAACAAACGAAATATTCACGAAGACGTTTCGCGGACTGAAAATTAATTGGACGGGTAGCGTAACCGCAAGTACAGTGTCGGCGATCGATATAAACGTCCGCGAAAGTTTCCGAGTTGTATATTATAATTTCGGTCGTTCATATTAATTATACCGTACGGAAAGCTTTCAAGCGGTCGTACAACTCGAACGTACCTATCCGTATAATATTACACTATAAAGTATAATATTGCGATTATTGCAGCCCAGTAGTGTGGCGTGGCCGGGATTTTGTATCGGGCGGAGCGGCTTATACGTTCTTTTTTTACTCGAGCCGTGGTCGTACCTATACAAGGAGATTTTTCGAAAAGTTTTTTCGTCGATATTATACGCATTTCAACGCACCTATAATAATTTAAACAAAAAAAAATTATAAACAAAACTCGATAATCTCTTGGCGCGTATTGTATAATCATACCGAGTATACTCCCCTTCGACGACAGCTGTGTCCACCTAGGAGATATTTCGAGTAAAAGCAGCAAACTTACCTAAACATTTTCATTTTTATTTATATTATCCCCGGTCAATCGGTCGAGTCTGTTTTCCGACATATTATTACTTTAATATAGTGCTCTCCGTTTTCATATATACGGTTCGAAAACAATCTTTCGGGAGTGGAAAAAAATCTCAGGACGTGCGTAGAGTCAACACCCGGATCGTAAAACGGTACAGATTACAGGGGGTCGTAGCCCCGTTGGTCTTCCCCCGATCAAGCCACTGCTGGATTACAATGTCGCCCGGTCAAGAATCCTCAGTCACAGCTACTCTGTGAATTTGCCCGTATCCGTGTCTGACGGTCTGTCGGTATGCGCTCTATTTATCGGTCGCGAATTTAGTGATATGATTATCACTATAAACGATAAGCGCATAAGGATCTAGAGAAAAGGCCTGGGGTGTTGTGTTTCGTGATCGCGCGGGAAACAGAAATTTCGGACCGTTCCCGGGAACGTTAAGAACGTTAAGATTCCGTGATGTTACCGAAAAATGTTTTCATAATTTAATGCGTTTTACGCGGAGAAGCACCGGAGCGTCGCCGACCTATGTTTCAGCTGGTTTATTCGCGTTAGTTGCAGCATTTAACATTTTTAAAAAGACGGGCATACTTCGCATGATAGGTGGAGTCACTCTGTTGTAAGTGAGAAGTTGGTAAGGTAAGAAATAGAGGGTAATTTAATTTATATCTGTACGCGACGATAAACCATTGTTAACGCTATTGGGAGCGAAGTTTTTTTTTATATATGTAAATGTATATTTTCTCATTTATCCTACGTTTTTCCCGATTTAATCAAATTATTATCCGCTTGGAAATTAAAAAACTACCTCTCTTAAGTACCAACTAGATAAAACTTAATACGCCAGAACAGGATTTCTGGTAGAAAAGTTGCTTACAGACAAATAAAAATAAACAAAAATAAACATCATTGTAAAACAAATACATTCCTCAATGCGCTCCTAGCTTAAAATATAGATTTTATCGAAAATCTCCGTATTCGACAAAATTAAAATAAAAAAAATATATTACATAAATAATTACGGACCGTTCGTAATCTCTGAATAAATAATTTTAATATTATAATAGCTCCACAACAAGTACCTACACGATAATAATATTGCGAATAACTTCACGAAAATCGAACTTGAAATTGTTCTGTAGGTAATCGGCATAACAATTTTCTTTTAGAGGATAATACTTTCTTGTAAATTATTGACGATGCAATCAAATTATAAATCAACAGTTTAACGATACTATCCGTTCAAACCAATTAAAAAGTATACAATTTTCTTTAAAGAAAATAATCTATCATCCATACACAATTAAATGAAATTACTCTAAATAATCTTTCGAAATATTTTTTTTTTTGAATCCCAGAATGAGAAATAATTTTTTTCAGTAAAATATTCGAATAATGTAACGACAAAATTTGTTTGTCACTTTTATTTTTAAAAAGAAAAACATTTTTTTGATATTATCTACAGATTTGTTTAGTTGTTTTTCATCCTTTGCAAATTATTTATTTTGTTTAGTGTATTTTATGTTTTCTAAGTATACTCATAAAACTAAATAAAAAATATTTCTTAAAAGTTAAAAAATACGTCATGACAACGTGTTTAATATCAATGTGAAATAATAAGAGAAAATAATAACATTTAGTTTTTCATTTTTTTTAAAAAAAAAATGTATAATAATACGAACAAATAATGTACAGTTTTAAATTTCAATGTTTTGTGAGGTTTTTTCTTTTATTTTTTGGAGATTTCATGTAAAATATGTTTACCTATTAAACTATGGATTAAAAATCATGCAGTGATTAAACTCGAAGAATATAATATTTTCTCGTTTTGAAGAAACTACTGACATACATAAACATAAACAAGTATTGTGTACTATTTTTTCAACCTTCTAAACCACCCTCAAAACCACCCTTCACCCGATTAATCATAATAAAAAATACGAAAAAAATCTCATCTTAACGACGCATAATATTATAATAAAAACTTTATGAAATAAATATCGTTTAATAATTCGTTTTCGTTTACCTCCTTGTTGTTGGTGGCCGGTCCTTCCTGCAGCAAACACGTCGTGGTCAAACGGTCTTGCATTTCGTTTGCTTTTGATCGGATTTGATGGGTGTTTTTTTTTTTTATATATATATATGTATCGCTATTTTATTCGCGCCCGTAAAGACCAAGCGGAATAATTTTTACGGCTTGACGACGGGGAAACGATAAATGTCACAGCGGTCGACAATTACAGTACGAGCGTGCGGGGTCGGGTGAACTGTACCGGTATCGAGGGGTTTTTTTTTAACACGGTTGCGACGACTACGACGACGACGACGACGACGACGACGACGGCGGTATGATAATGGATATCGAGCGCGAAGACGCGAGTGCAACCGTAGACGACGAGACGAAACGGTCGACTGACACCGACTGCGATATCGCGCGCCGCGCGGGACCAAAACGATCGGGACGGCGGCGGCGCTCGGTTACCGCGACCGCTGTCGTAGTAAATACCGGCGGTCGTTGTCGTTGTAGTAAGTAAACGAGTATATAGTTGTAGTAATAGTGGTTGTAGTAGTAGTGGTAGTAGTGGTATCCGTGGCCGTAGTAGTAGTATTAGTAGTAGTAGCAGCAGCAGCAGCAGTAGTAGTAGTACGGTCGTCGACGAGGGCCGGACGAGTGAGAGCAGGTGAGCAGGTTATCCCCATACGCGTATACGTACGCCGCGCCGCCGCCGCCGCCGCCCCGGAACGGTCTGTGCGCAGATCAACCGGCCCTCTTGTCGTCCGCCGCCACCGTCGCCGCCGCCGCCCGGTGTATTATCGTTGTTATTGTACTCGGGCACTCTTCATTAATATTTAAGGGGGTGGCGGTAGGGCGGCGCCGTAAACCGCTCTTTCGGTACACCGTTATCCGTTCGCGATTTCAACGCGTATTTTCGCGGTTCACGAACGAAACTGCGCGCGCGCCACACCGCGTGAAGTCGGACAAGAAAATGGAGCCGATACCGCGCCGACGGACGGTCGGGCAACCGTTGCAGACGGGGGGAGTCGGGATGGTACGGGATACACAAAACCGTTTGATTCGTATATCCGTGTAAGCGACGATAAGCGATTCTGAGCTAAACCCGTGCGTGTGTGCACGATTTCGGGAGGCCGTGGTGTTTACGATTTTCATAGAAATTAGATCACATAACCGTTGTGAAAAAAAAAAAAAAAATTGACGTTTCAACTTCTCATTTTCGTTAAATTCGTGATTTTTAATCAATTTTTAGCCGCATTTCTTAATCACGTTCGCTAATTGATTATTATTGTTATGGCTAATTGTCTGCACATATTTTATACCTGAACTTAAAAAAAAGTTGATATGTCGGATGAATAAATTCTATAAAATGGCTTAAAATTGTTCAAAAAAAAATTAAATATGTTATTTTTTAAATTGTTTACCGAACGACGAAAATAAATTTGAATTTAAATATTTGTAGTCTTTATCCCTGTGAGTAACGTTATCTATTATCTCCGGAGACATTACAATCTTCGTGGGACACCCTGTATTGATACATTTGGTATGGACACCATTTTTCGTATATTAAATTAAATTAATTTTAATCTTTTGAAAACTGCAAATTAGTTACATTGTTAAATTACTGATTTTTGGTTATACACTAATACACAATTTATTTGGGGTTGCATAAAGATACTCTTGCAGCCCCATAATACTTCAGGGGTCGCGTACGATCTGACTAAAATACGTTTCGTCCGAAACACGGTACGGACGATTTATTTTCGGCTTGAACACGGTTCGGCTGTTACACGATTCCGGCTGCAATACCTGCGTTCCGTCTAGTACATATTATGTTTCGGCTTGATTACGGTTCGGTTAAAATATAAACCACCTACAGTACAGGTCGGCTCTGAAAACTTCCGGCTGTTTATGCGTGCTCGAATTCTATACAAATCGTCTATCAATAAACATAATATTATGTATTACCCTCAATTGTATGGCGGTCTTCCTATGTCCGCGTTTAAATAAATCAGGCTGTACAGACAAACGGTAACGACATTTGCAAGTGCGTGCAAACAGTAATTTCCAATAATGAGACACTGACAAAATAATCACGCTTCATGTCTTATAACGATAAACATTCGCACGGATTGGCGACAGTGATCGATAATGTCGTTTGAAATCGTAAAAGCGATTGTTCGATTCGTATTGGAGTGTCGACGAATGTTGAACTGTATTGAAAAATTGTTTTGAATTGGTAACGGAATTGTTGAAAATTTGTAATAATTTATACCTGCTATTAATGATTAGATTTGTTGGCATCATTCTATCGGTTAAGAGGACGTTATACCCGCATTTATTGCCTCAGTTCAACTCCCGGGTAACATGCAAAAATAATGCTTATACAGTCTAAGTAAAAGTAGCTTAATTTTGATGTTAAGTAAAAGTACCTATTATACAATTTATAGAGGACGATATTTCGGAAGGGATTAACATAGGCGTTTTTTTTTAATTATGAACTATTAAAAAAAAATTCAGTTATTTAAAACACAAAAAAAAAAAAAAATAAAACAAACGTTTTTGTATCTTTTATATCGAGCTGTATATATTGAACAATACAAAAACCTTATATGATATTCCTTCAAAATGTCGTTCTATATAATTTTCATTATAGGTACTTTTACTCTAAAATCAAAATCAAACCAGTTTTACTTATTCTGCGGATATAACGTCCTCTTAATGTTATATCGTTTCAACTCTGAAACGATTTCACGACCAACGAGACAGACGGTAACAATTTAATATATTTGACGTGTAATCATGAAATTCGTTTAAAAAAAAAACACGCGTTCACACTAAAACTTGGAAACCGCACAACTTCGAATGATTTCAAATGATTTCAGAGGTTTATAATTATTACATTCATAATGGAAATGAAATGTACAACAGCGTTGCCTATATAATTACACTCCATAACGTAAAAAAGCGTTTCCCGCCTACCCTCACCGCGCAACAACTGGCACCGTGCGAATTTTCCGAATGTTTACGCCAGTCCAACCATATCAGCACCCGGCAGGAACACGAAAAATCGTAGTATTCGGAAAACAGTTATTTATATTTTTATATTTGGTATGACCATTACCTTATGGATCATAATGCATGGCCCACTCATCAATAAACAAATCACAGTCCGTCTCGGCACGGTAATTTTTGCGAGAAGTAAAATGTTTTAATGTTTACTGTTTTACTCGTTATTATATCATTTACCGTTATTTCAACTTAGTAAAATCATATAAACAAAATAAATAATGTATAAGAAAATCGTCGGTTCAATCTAAAAAATAATAGCTGTTCACAATCCCATGACAATTTTCTTTTTGATCTGAAGCCCGAAGGCCTGTAGTCTTAATGCACTGAAAATGTTTCAAAATCCAACGGAAAAACTTTTTTTTTCAAACTTTACAGCAATCTACGACTGCTCGATTAATTATAGACAAATAAATAAACGGGTTCTGTATAGGTAAACAAACGGTCGATTGTCATCACTCACCAGAATACCAGATAACCATTCATTAATCATTATCAGGTAACCTACGTGATAAAAATAGTAAGTATATCATAGTACCATAGCTAACGACAATTCAGTCATACATTAAATTTAAGTATTATCGTTCTTTTTTAGCATTTCTTTTTTCGTATCCTGTAATTAAAACATATTCGTACAGACAGTGAACAATTGTAATGATTTCCTTTAACTATTTATTTGTTTCGTTTTAACTTTAATGAATTGAATGCCTACGAAACATCGACACAAAAAGTTCATAAATTCGTCCCTTATGAACCGTTCTCGATATCTATAATACCTATATAGGAAAGCTATTTCCTAACCCATTCCTAACGGGATTTTTATGTTTGATATTTTTTTTTTATTTTATATTTTTTTATACGACCGCATAAACGGTTTCGACTTTCAATAATTTATAATAAAATTATACTCCGCGCGAATATATGTAATTGAATAGTCTTATTTCTATACCAACAATATTCGCGTGACGTGCGACAATATATAAACCTACCACATTTTCCTCGTATAATATTATGTTCAGGTGTGAACGTTAAAAAATTTGTAAAACGTTGTATAGTTTATTTACACCCAACACACTCGTATATCTGCAAATATTTAATAAAACCGTCGTCGTTTCAAACATATAAATATAATGTATAGCTTCATGAGATACGTGTAATACTTAATGTAACAATGGCGCCGGAGTAGTGAGAGAGGCAGAGAAGAGGGGAAGCAGTTACATTGGGGTAATGTAGTGAATTAATCACAAAAGTATTGCAGTTTTTCATTGTTATCAACACTAGACTTCTGACTTTGTTAGTATTATTAATTTTTCCCTACTCTTTATATCATAATGTCTAAAATACCAGATTTATATTTTAATCCTAATTGGATTGAAAATAGGTCAATCCGAACAGAATTCATTAAGCCAGATTATGTCTAACCCATTAAATGTATAATTTTCAATCTGAATTACGTATTGATTAAACAATCATGTTCAACGCTACTAAAAATTACCCCTTCCCTCCCAAATGAATGACTAGAATATAATATTCGAAATCAAAGTCCCTAAACCTAGTTACAAGTATATACTATTCGTACACGTACGAAATATGATTCCTATAACCAGCCCTAGATATGATTACCCCCTATAACCTCATTAACCTTCCCCCTCCCCTTCAACCACATATCTAACCTTTATAAAAGACGGACATACTTCACACATAGATGCAGCCACTGTTGTAGGTGAGAAATTGAATTTATATCTGTAAGCAACGATAAACCATTGCCAACGAAAAAACGATTCTGGGCGAAATCAGCGAATAGAGTTGCTTTGTCAACTTGTCAACTAAATTTGTCATATTATGATAAAATAATTATATAGGCATTATATATTTTCTTTAATAATATATGATTAATTTTGTACCGATTTTCCCAGTTTCCCGTTTTTTTTCGCTTGTTCCCGGGTTTTCTAATTTGTTGGGATAACTCCTGGGAAGACTAAAAAATGACGTCTTTAAGTACCTCTTCAGTCAGATTTACTTTAAGAAAAAGTGCTAAACTTAAAAATCGAAACAAGATTTCTATTAGAAAAATTATGCACAAAAATAAAACATTTTTGTAAAACCATAAGCTTCTCCGCTCCTCTCAGAATCTAAAATAATGATGATAATAATAATAATATACACAAAAATCATAATCATAATCAGCATTTTAATGAAAAGCATAATAGGAAATAATAAATATAATGATTTCTTAAATAAAAATAAATGAGCATTTTAATAATAAAAATCAAATCAATATCATAATAATCATCAATACATTTAACAATATTAATTAACAACAAAAAAAATCAGCATACTTATAACAAA